AATAATATTAAGACATTCTGATTAAAAGTTCTAAAAATTCTGAAAATGCCTTAAAGATTATAAGATATCTTTAAAAATCCATGGAAATTCCTAGAAATCTGTTGATATCCCTAAAAATTCTTTAAATTCCTAACAAATTATTAGTAAATCTTGGAAATTGTTGAAGGATCACGTGGAATCATTAAAAATTTATTGCAAATCATTAATTATCACTAAAAAATTGTTGAAAATCGTTAGGCATTCACTCAAAATGTTCTGCAAATAAATAGCTTTCTCTGGAAAGCTTTACAAATTTCTGAAATTTGTGAGGAATCAATTGATACGTACTTACAGTCTAGAAATATCCCTGGGAATCGTTAAAAATCATGGATATTCTTGGAATTCTTCTAAAATCCTAGATAGTCGTAAAAATCCCTAATTTCATCAATGATAAATTGATGAAATTTTGATATCTTTGAAAATCCTTATAAATTTTCTGGTAATGCTTTCAAAATTCATAGCATGTTTTTGTTTTTCTTGAGTATCTTTAGAAATCCTCCAGAGGAATAGTTAGGGATTGCTTGATTTCCGTAAGCATTTTTTAAAATCTTGGAATACGTTTAAAATCACCCTTAGGATTCTTATACGTTTTAGGCAGAAGCTTTGAATCATTAAGAATCTCTTTGGAATCGTTCGAAAATCCTAGATATTCGAAAAAATCCCTAATTTATCTCTGGAAATGCTACAAAAATGCATCTAAACTGAATATTTTTGAAACATTTTATACATCTAACAATAAGATTCGTTTAGAGTTTGAAAATTTGATGCAAATCCTGGAAATATCCTAAAACCTTTGATTAATCTTGGAGATTCTTAGACATTCTTTGGATCCATGGAATGGTTTTCGATATTCTTGGGTATCTTTAGACATGTCTAAACAATTGGATGCAACCGAAAGCAATTCGATGTCATCAAGAGTAATTTTTTGACATTCATATTTAGAATCAGCAGATTATCACATTTTTAAGTCAAGTAGAGGACTAAACGCAAAAGAGGCAAAAGAAACCAAAACTTTTTCTTAATTAATTACTTTATTTTTTTAAGGAACATCTGGCACCCCAGGGGCAGCTGGAAGCGGTGGTACGCCAGGAAGTCCAGGACAGCCAGGAACTCCAGGACAAGCTGGAAGTGGTGGTACTCCAGGAAGTCCAGGAAAACCAGGCACTCCAGGACAAGGTGGAACACCTGGTACTCCAGGAAGTCCAGGGCAACCAGGCACTCCAGGGACACCTAGTACTCCAGGCAATGCAGGAAGTTTGTCATCAACAACACAATCTCCATCAAGTAAGTTGTTAAAAATCTTTGTTATTATTACAACATAACATAAATATTGTATTAGTTCCAAGTCCTATTGGAAAAACATGCACTCAAGAAGGTTACATGGGAGACAACGAAGATTGCATGAAATTCTATCGATGCGTGGACAATGGAAATGGAGGTTACGTCCAATATACTTACAATTGCGCACCTGGAACTGTTTGGGATAACAACTTGAGCACTTGTAATTATCCAAATGCTGCCAATCGGGAAAATTGTAAAAATAATGGTGGATATCAACCAGGACAAGGTGGATCTCCAGGTAGTCCAGGAACACCAGGATCTCCTGGACTACCAGGACAAGGTGGAAATGGTGGACAAGGAGGCAGTGGTGGATCGCCAGGTAGTCCAGGTTCGCCAGGATTACCTGGGCAAGGCGGAAACGGAGGACAAGGAGGCAATGGTGGATCTCCAGGTAGTCCAGGAACACCAGGATCTCCTGGACTACCAGGACAAGGTGGAAATGGTGGGCAGGGAGGCAGTGGTGGATCGCCAGGTAGTCCAGGTTCGCCAGGATTACCTGGGCAAGGCGGAAACGGAGGACAAGGAGGCAGTGGTGGATCTCCAGGTAGTCCAGGAACACCAGGATCTCCTGGACTACCAGGACAAGGTGGAAATGGAGGAAGCTCAGGTCAACAAGGTACTCCAGGCAATGCAGGACAAAATGGAGGTTTCTCATCGACAACGCAATCTCCATCAAGTAAGTTGTAAAAAATCTTTGTTATTATCACAACCTAACATAAATATCGTATTAGTTCCAAGTCCTATTGGAAAAACATGTACTCAAGAGGGTTACATGGGAGACAGCGAAGATTGCATGAAATTCTATCGATGCGTGGACAATGGAAATGGAGGTTACATCCAATATACTTACAATTGCGCACCTGGAACTGTTTGGGATAACAACTTAAGCACTTGTAATTATCCAAATGCTGCCAATCGGGAAAATTGCAAAAATAATGGTGGATATCAACCAGGACAAGGTGGAAACGGAGGGCAAGGAGCAACTAATGGATCTCCAGGAAGTCCAGGAACACCAGGATCTCCTGGACTACCAGGACAAGGTGGAAATGGAGGACAAGGCGGAACTGGTGGATCTCCAGGTAGTCCAGGGACACCAGGATCTCCTGGACTACCAGGACAAGGTGGAAATGGAGGACAAGGAGGTAGTGGTGGATTACCAGGTAGTCCAGGTTCGCCAGGATCACCTGGGCAAGGTGGAAATGGAGGACAAGGCGGAACTGGTGGATCTCCAGGTAGTCCAGGGACACCAGGATCTCCTGGACTACCAGGACAAGGAGGTAGTGGTGGATCGCCAGGATCACCTGGGCAAGGTGGAAACGGAGGACAAGGCGGAACTGGTGGATCTCCAGGTAGTCCGGGAACACCAGGATCTCCTGGTCAAGGTGGAAATGGTGGTCAAAATGGACAAGAAGGAAATAGCGAACCTCCTATACAAAATGGTTGCTCAACAGGAGCATTCAGAAGCCATGAAAATGATTGCAAAAAATTTTATAAATGCTCCAACGGACTTGATAACGTTTTCACTTGCCCAGATGGAACAATTTGGGACCAAGACGCCCTCACCTGTAATTTCCCATCCGCTGTAAAAGGAAAATGCGGATCTAACACTCAAGTTGTTTCTACAACAAGTTCTCCAGTTATTACACCAATGACCACAACAAATCGCGAAGTGACAAGCGAAAAAGTTGAGAGTACCACAAATCCAACCCAACCCAACACCGCCACCACCGTTCTTCCTCCTTGCTATAATTCCACCACGAAAGAAGAAATTAAAGAGCCGAATAAAAATTGTTCCTCAATGGCTCACGGCGATTTTAAACCAGACGTGAAGAATTGTCATAAATATATTCGGTGCAGCAATGGGATTGAGTATAGTTTTGAGTGCCCCAGTGGATTGGTTTGGGATCAAAACATATTAACTTGTAATTATGGAAATTGTTCATCTTCAACTCAAAGTATCGAAACAACTCAAAGTACTCAAACAACCCAAACAACTCCAATGACAACTGAAAAATTTACGACTGATTCAACGACAACAATCCAAACGACAAATAGTCAAGGCACAACGGAAATGATGACAAGTGAAAGATTTACAACAGATTCAAGCACGACTCAAGTACTAACTCAAGCACCAACTCAAGTTACTACGATTACCACGGAAAATTCCATTGGAAGTACAATGACAACTGAAAGTACCACTCAAAATGTGGAGACTACAACCGGAAAATACTGCACCCAAGACTACAGAGCTGATGAAAATGATTGCAAAAAGTTTTATAGATGTGCCAATAACATTGAATCTGTTATGAAGTGTCCAGAAGGTACAGTTTGGGATGAGAAAAAAATTATTTGTAACTATCCAAGTGAAGTTAGCGGGAAGTGTGGAAGCATGACCGAATCAACTGAATCATCAACTCAAGCTACAACAGAAATGATCCCAAATTCATCTACCGAAATTACTAGTACTGAATCAATTACATCCTCGACGTTGATTTCGACTGAAATGACCACAACACAACCAAATCCAACCACTGAATTTGGAAGTACTGAATCATCAAGTTTGGCATCAACAGAAATGGTGACTCAACCCCCAACAGAACCTACCAGAACTGAAAATCCCCCTCAAAATATAACAGCGAATTGTCCCATTTCAAACTTGACAGGTTCTCAAGTTCTTTTAGTTTGCCCAACTGCTTTTAGGCGACACCCTAAATACTGCGACCTATTTTATCAATGCATGACATCATCGAATATTGATATAAAAGTATCAGTTTTTGCATGCCCCAATGGAACCTTATACGATGAGGAGCGCTGCCAATGTTCAGAACCTTCAGAAACGAGACCATGCGATGGTGAATATCACCCAGAAGAAAGAGGATTCTTACCCGACGATGAGTTAGCACCAATTATGGTTGGAAATCAAGGAAATTTATGTCCGTTTGAAGGTTATTTTGAGCTAGAAGAAGACGGAAGAAAGGGAAGGTGTTCGTCGATGTTTTTGAAATGTTCCAAAAATGTTTCGAAAATTGGTAGATACGAGCCGGTTTTGATGCAATGCCCGATTGGATTCGCGTTTTGGTCCGTGAGTAGAAGATGTGAAAGGAAAAGTAAATTGTTGGAGTGTGAAGGGGTTGAGGGTGATGCGGGGAGGAATTTTAGGTGGAATTTGCCGATTGAAAATGTTAATGTTTCGTATTACAAAAAAAGAAATGTTTTGAAAAAATGATTAATTAATTTTTATTGATAGATTTTTATCCCTTTTTAATTGAATTTCGTTTTTGGGATGAAAATTTATTTTCGATTTAATTTTTATTTTTGAAAAAATTAATTCGAAAAATTAAATTAAATTAAACTAAAAAGAATTTAAAAAAAAACGAAAATGGGGTTTTAAACCGGTGGTGGTTATTTAATTAATTTAATTTCTTTAATTTTAATTAATTTGTAGTTTTGAGTAGAAATGTTCAAACAAAAATTTGTATTGCGATAAATTTTCCGTTTCTAGTCAATAAAAATCGACTCAATAAATAATTTTTATATAAATTAGTGTTTTATTTTTTTGGATTAAATCAAAAATTAAATCATTTTTAAAATTTTTCTATTTTTTTTTAACTTCATCACCATTTTTTTTAAAAGTACAATTAATTTTTAATCCTAGTTACATAAAAATTCCACGAAAAATTGTTTATTTTATCGCGTTTTCACCACCATTTGCCCGTGTAAACAATTACTTTTCTGTTTACGGCTTAAAGCAACGTTTATAATTTCGAAAATTTCAATAACTTTCTTTTCCGACTCACCGAAATCCAATTTTAACCTCCAAAACGGTTTTTCGGAGTTTGTACCAATTTTTTCTGCACTATATGGTACATTAATATCCTGGAAATAAAACAAAGAGAAATTAAAACGTCATAAAATTTTGCTACTTGAAATAATAAATAATTAAATAAAATCAACATAAAAGAAAATGAGACCCGTACGACAGTAACAAACTATGAAAAACAAGGGTAGTTTTTCTATCTATTTTACAAGCCGATAACTTTGTTGTTTTTAGAGATAGCGGAATAATAAATACACCACTAGAAAGCCTGATCTTTCCTTCATCTACCAAATTGGAACCAAATTAAAACCACATTTTCGATATCTTGATATCCACAACGAAAAAGAATAGAGAACGCCGCCGCGTTCCAAATACACCTCAAAATTGTCAAATTTCAAGTCCGTGTGCAGCCATTATGGAACCGAATTTAAAAAAAAGCTTTATCGATTTTGTCTGGTCAATATCTATTGACGTCGGCCAAAAAACAAGCCTTCTAAAGAACTCTACCTAGAATCGGTAAATTGACTCACAAGGGAAGTGTCACAACTGTGTCTCACCGATTTCGATGCAATTTGGTACAGTCATAGAATGGGCCAAAATAAGGTTCGCACATTTTTTTATACGTGCGGTAAAAGCCCCTGGGGCGAGTTATAGGGGTTGAAAGTTTGGAGAAAAAGTACGTTTTCACTTATATTTTAAAAATGAAAAGTGCTATCAAAATTTGGTAAATTGTAACTGATATTCATTTTAAAAGAGCTTTCTTTTGATGTGTCACACATATAGCAGAGGGTTAAAAAGGGCGAACTACCCCTATTTTTTTGGAATTATTTAAAAACCACCCTATCGATTTTGGCGGCATTAAGTATACTTCCAGCACGTTCAAAAATATTAGTTAAGGGTTTTTTCCCATTCGCTCTAGATCATCCCCAGCGAAGTTACGGGGGTTAACATGTAACCACTTTTCGTAAGAATGATGTGATAAAATTGTCAGGTATTTTGAAAATACTTTAACAAAACCGTAAATTAGTCGCACAATAAAATGTTTAATGTAAAATAAGGCATAATACACCATTTAGGGGTGGTTGGGGTTAACCACCCCCT